TTCTCGGGTGTTAGCTTGTCTTTATAAAATACGGCGACGCAGGGCAAAACCCAATTTAAAATTAAACACTTTTGTTGAAAGTCACTTTTATATACATGTACGCATGATTTGAGAGCTTCTGCGAAGACTGATCGCTCACATTTCTTATTTAACCAGTTCACGTCGGATGACGAGTATATATTCACAAATGTTTTGCGGTATTCAGGTATTCAGTCTGCTACCCGCTCGCAGCAAGCGAGGCCGGAAATATCAGGGTGTGCTACCCACAGATGAAGGCCTGAACCCATCCGGAATTGAGGTTCGTGAAAACAATCCCGCGCCTAGGTCAGGTCAATGTCAAAATAAACCTGGCGCGAAGTGGTTAAAATTTCTCAAAATATCTGCTACTTCAGAAAATATGTCGGATTCATCTTAAGTCACTTTTTGGTAATGTTTGAAAAACAGCAATTTAATTTAATTATTTTTCGGGGGGGGGGGGGGGTGAAATTTGAACAGCACTGCCAGGAGACAAACTTTAAATCAATGAATACTGAAATCTTTTCATTTGCCCATCTCCCAGTAGAGGGATGCATGGATTGAAAACAAAATTAAACCACTATTGATTTTGAACCCACTTCGAGTTCAGGTAAGGTAAAACCAAAACTGATATATGTACATGTATCTGTACTTATACACAAGTATAAAACCAACAAATATGAAAAGTGAAACATTAACATCGACAGAGGAAATTTTATGCGCAACCAACCCGCTCCAAGTTAGCAGGAAAATCTGATATAAAAATCTAGCAAAATATACATCCATTCTTCTCATAAATAAGAAAATAAAAGTGAATCACACAAAAAAACAAGACAGCTTTCCATATCACTTGCAAAGTCGGAACAGGAAAACGGGTTCGTGTATAGAGTAGAGCCATTTTGAGTTCAACAACTGTACAGTTTTGTGTTCAGGTACAGGCACTGTACAACGTACGTATACATCACTGTAAATGTTTACAGCCCTTCGGCATTTGCCGTAAACATCGAAAGCTCAGCAACTGTGTGGGCGAAGTTCGGGCAAGGACCATTAGTCGAACGCTGGTCAAAATGTCGTCGCAAAACTTCTGGATCCTGGCTCTCTGCTTGCGTTATGAATGCGCGCGGCTATTGGTTACCAGCGAAGCAACCAACCCCAGTAGGCTGGTTCCAAATAGTCGACTAGCGTAGTCAACCACCATGGACTAGACAGAGTTCGGGCAAACGTTAGTTAACCATTGGTCAACTATAGTCCTTGCGCGAACTTGGCCCCGGATTTAGCACTCAGATACATGTAACTATTTGATTCATTACTTAATTCATTAACATTACTGCCAGTGCTACGCAGCAATCTTCATCATGTACCGGTACATGTAAACATGTGTACTGACAAGTATAATTCAAACGTTATCAAACTTAATTTTTAATCAGAATTGGAACTCCAGACTATGCAGGAACTTAATGCTAGTGATGTTGCCATGCCGGGTGTAAAATGTTATCAGTAACCAGTGGCCTGCATCCTCTGTGACATATTCTACGTACGCAGCCCACATCCTGCGGTGGAAACCTTGGAATAAAAAGGTTCAACTTCCCTTTCCTGTTCATTACCGGTACATGGCCGACTACAAAGTATGTAAACTGTATTCACAGACAGCGGGGTGAATTCTGCTCCAATGATCAACCAACCCGGGCTTCAGGAAGGACTTACTCTTGTCACTAAATCCTCCTAAGTTCATGGCTTCATATTGGTGCGTATGTGTCGGAATTTAATGTTCCCAGCATGATGGTGTTTGGCTGACAGCGTTTCGTCATGGTGCTCCACAGGGATGAAGGATCGTCTTTAGTGTAATCAGAGGATTTTGATGATTCTGGGGAGATGTTTGTTGGTCGACCAGTTGGTTTGGAACTGATTTATGATGGCCTGTTGACTGTCACGCCTGTGAGATTCACGCCTGTGAGATTTAGTTGATCACGGCATGCAAAGGATCGCTGGTTGCTGAGCTACAGGGATGTCAGATTCCGAGTCCTGTCTCTTGCTAAGCACGGATTACTCGGCAGAAGAGCGGCAAAAGGCCAAGACCCTCCCCCGGGGATTCTTCGGTGTATGTAAGTTTGCTTGCTGAATTGTTCATCTTTTAAGCGCTCATTAAGATATCATCTTGAAAATAGGTGTATCACTTTCAATCACTGGTATGGGTGTGTACGGTACATTAGTGCTTTGTTGTTATACAGGTTACATATACTACGCTGCATCAGGAGTCCTGTTTATTACGTCACGATTTACTATGTTTTGCTTGCTGCCCCCAACGACGACTTTTACACAAATTGCACGTTCGGGTCGAAACAGGACCTGAAAAACAGCTCTCAAAAGTACCTTTTGTACTCATTTCATGACAGACACAATAGTCGTTTTTATTTCAACACACCTTAGGCTACATATAACCGAAATATGACGGAAATGTCTTCGAGCATTCCACAACCTCTTTAAACAAGCGATTACAAATGTGAAGGTAATTACCACCAGAAAGAAAATAATGCTTTAATTGAATCTAATTATTTAAATAAGATTGTATTCCTCTTATTTCTTAGTATCACAAGTGCACAAACAGATGTATTTAATAAGAGTGTTAATTTGTACCAAATGAAACAATATTTTACTGACTTTTAAATATCAGAGGCAACACAAACATCATTGTGTAGGCCTGTGTACGTCTACTTTTCGAAAAGTTGATACATGTACGTACATGTATTATGGAAAGAAAGATTAGGCCTAATCCCAACATTCCCAGATCCCACAAATCAACTGGCAGGTTTTGTAGATATTTGTAGGATCGAGGAAGGTGCAGCCCAGCTGCAATTACACATACCTTTTCATAAGTTTTTGTTCCTTGAACGTTCAAGAATCACGGTGTGTATACATACATGTACAAAGTTGGTCCGAAATTTGGGACTCTCAATACTGTGTAGTTGAGGCCTAAAACCCTTTATAAACAGACAAATGACCGAAACAAAAAGGGTCACATGGCGCTGCGATAATGGTTTGGCAGTGTATATTTAGCCAGCGCTGGCTTTCTTTAAGTAAACGATATTTTGCCGGACAGGCACTGAACACGCGCAGTGACTTTTTTGGGGACTTCAACATTTTTACCGTGACAAATCTTAGTCTGGTTCTGCGCCAACATTGTCGTTGTGACTTCATATTCACGAGACGGGAATCAGACCATTTTACAATTTGGGACTTGATTTTCCTTTTAAAAATAAATCCTCCAGAGCCACGAATCAGAAAAAGAAAATTTTAATTCTCTGTAAATGTTTGAGTCAATTTAAATTAATAAAAGATGAATATCGAATCGAACCCTGCTGGGAACTCTCACTCATACACGTGCTATCCACTAGGCCACAGGTAATGCAAAATTGATGGTAATAATTTAATACCAAGTTTTATAATGTAGGTCTACTCCATACTCGTACACGTCAAAGAGGGCGCTGTACAATCTAGCTGGCTAAATATCATTTAGCCGGCTGAATCAGTTTAGCCGGCTAAATATACACTTCCTAAATACTTTTATAGTACTCTGCAACTTGTTTTGCGTATGCAACCAAAGATCGAGTAGCGCCGCTTAGCGGTGCTTACCATTTACGATCTATGGTATAACTTGATGCAGCCTTGCATATGCCAGGCAGTCACGGCAGTCAAGGCTAAATCCAACAGAGTCCAACCAGACTTTCCTGTTCAATCCACTGTGCCTCATGTTCAGTTGTCTGCTAAATCCAACGGAGTCCAACAATGCGTTATAATGCGGTTCAGTTGCCTGCTGAATCCAACATTTTGCATGAGGAATGTACACAAGGGGTTAACTGCTCAATCCAACAGGCTCCATCGGGTATGTGACACAGGAACAAAATCCCTAGTTTGTAAATTACTTGACCAACCAAAATAGTTGGCAACATTAATAATAACATGCAGGTATGACATTATACGCGGATACGGAGTCACGTTTGGATGCTCAACCAAAACCACACGCGTGTGCCACCCCGTATCCCCGTATCCGCGTATCCACTTCCCGGCACCTACTTTGGACTTAAACGTTTTTGCCCCAAACCACACGCGTACGCCACCCCATATCCCCGTATCCGCGTATCCACTTCCCGGCACCTACTTTGGACTTAGACGTTTTTCCCCTGCTCCCCATTCAACTCACGTTGTCTCTGCCTTCGTTATTTTCCAACATGGATATGGATGCCTGGTTCTCAAAAATATTTTCCTCCGCTAAAAATAAAGTCCACCCCGTATCCCCGTATCTGCATATCCAATTCCTGGCACCTACTTTGGACTTAGATTTATTTAACCCCTGTTCCCCATTCAATTCACGTTGTCCCTGCTGGCCGCATTTCTTATTACAGGGAAATAGCGCCCTCTTTAGACCCTCCAGCGCTCAAATCCACCCCGTATATTGTATCCGCGTATCCACTTCCCGACATCTACATGTACTTTAGACATTTCTGCAACATTTTCTGACTGCGTACAAATGGCGTTTTTAGGGGGTAATTTCCGCATGGTGGGGTATCCTGCAATTACTCCTGTCCTAGACCTAGTCAAATTTAGCAGAGAAATATTGAAGTATTTACTGAGAAAACACTTACAATTCAAATTTTCCGACCAGTCTCATACGGTTTGTGCACAGGGTAACAAGTGATGGTCAGACATGGGAATCTTTCCCTAGGCTAGTAAAGTAGTATTAGGGGCCCTAGTACGACATAGTTCTAGGGCAGTACTACACTTTACGGTAGGGGTACACTTTACGATCGCCGTTTTTGGCAGTGGTCACATCATCGACTAGCCCCACTAGTACTATGTGGCCGCGGTATGCTGCGCTGAACCTCAGCGCAGCATACCGCGGCCACAGGCCACAGTCATGAGTGGGGCTAATCATCGACATCAAAAACGTAATAAATGTATAAATAATTAATTATGATCAGCAGTTTTACCTAGCAGCTGATCGAAGAAGAACTTCAGGTGGGCAGCGGAAAGCAGCCATTGCAACCAGAGCACCTCGCTGGAACATGTTTACTTTTTCAGATTTTTATCGACTTCATTTTTGATCGTGTACAAAGCAACTGCAGCAGCAGTACGCTGTCCGCACGTTTATGATTTCCGGATTCTTGATTTGTGGCCTAGCGCCCTCTCTTGTTCGAAAACTTCTCTCGAACTTTTTTAATAACCGAGAATGAAAAAAAGTTATGTTTCTAATCAGAGAAAGCTTTAAAAGGAAATGCAAATTCAGAAACTCCAGAAATAAAAACTCGAATCTTTTTTTTTCACAAATAATTACCGTGGAGAGTTTAGAGAAGTTACCAGTGACCTTATATTAGATATCATGAATGAAACTGCAAAAAAGCTTAGAAATAATTATAAAAAAAACAACGGAAACCTGTTGCTTATTTGCTTTTGTTATTATGATCACGAGCACAAAATTAGATCGCGTTCAACAAAACTAGATATTCTATGGATAAAGAATAAGGTCACAGACATAAAATACCTTTTATGTTGGTGACTCAAGTTTGTATCGTGTGCCTGTGAATGGAAAGTTTACAGTTTTGCGACTCCCCCCCCCCCTCCCCCCCCCCCCCCTCCAAAACAAAATAGAGACTCAGGCATAATTGAAAATCAGGAAAATCAGATTGAATTTGAATTAAAAAGAAAAAAAGTTATGCCTTTCACTTGTTCTTCTTGCATCCTGTATTCTGCTTCCTTTGACCATGCCTGTACCTAAGAAAGTACTCTTCAATTTAAAAAAAAATGGCGGTAAATGACAATGACAATTCTCTTGCTCTTCATACGTGCACAAAAAAAACCCCTTAAAATTTAAGCTATTAGGAACAGCAAGTTAAGATCGTGTGGCCTACGTGCTGCAAGTGGTATGTGACTGCCAATTTCCGCATGGGCGCACGTACAATGTGTACTGCATGTGCAATGCGTCTGTGTAGTTCCGGGTACGTACGTATGGCAGGCAGGGTGACCGTAAGGTTATAGCCAAATCCTGCTAAATGCGATTCAAAAATCTGTCAGATTTGTCACAAATCTGCCAAATTCCCCAGTATTACTCGAAATACACTATAAACACTTAAAATCACATGCAGATGTTGTAGTATTGCCTTGATTAAGGTTCAAAGTAAATTATAAACAGCTATAGTCACATAAAGATGTTATAAAATTGAGTAAATTTCAGGCAAAACGCGGTTGCATCACAACAAAGTCCGGTTCCCAGTGAACCTCAGCGCCTAGACCAGCCAATTATGCAAGGGTTTGTTTGAAAAGATTGAAGCTTTTAAAAAAAAGAGTACCATTTTTTTTTCGAATATGCTATGTTTTTTGGGTCAAATAACCATTTTTGCAGAATTCAGCTAGAAATTTGCTCCCCCCCGAAAAAAATCCGTTCTGTCAATTTTGTTGTCAAATTCGTTAAAAAAAAACCTGTCAAAGTTAGCCGAAAATCGGCTAAAACGGTCACCCTGGCCGCCCAGGGTACGGAAATAGTGGACACTATATAACTGCCGGGACTCGATCGTCGTGTAATTCCAGTAGCCGCAATTCCCGAAAAATAGGTGTCATTAATCCGGAGATAAAACGATGCCGATCACTTCTTTCACTTCATCCAAGTGTCAACAATGGCCACGCAGTCACGTGCAGCAAACAAAAGTGTGAATCGCTTGAGACAAAAGTTTGAGGAGAAAGATGCTGCCCATCAACCGACGGCCGGCGGGAGTGCGCCGAACTCGCCGCAGATGTGCCGCCCGGGGAGATTCGTACAGGCCAAGAGGATTGGACAAAAGTCCGGGGAGAGTTCGCAGATTCATCGGCGGTCGTCCGAGTCAGCAGCACTGCTGGTGAGCCGCAGGAACATTTCGTCTTCTTCGCAAGGAACAAGTGGTTCCGTTGCTGTAAAAAATGGGAAAAGTACTTTCCAGCCTCAGAAAGAATCTCCTCTGATGAGTCGTCGATACAACAGACAGTTGTCAGAGAATGCAGCAAATAGCAGAGACGCACAGGGAGTTTTCAAAGGAAACAAGTTCCCAGGACCAAAGCCGGCCTTGCCCGCAAAGCCGACCTTGCCCGCAAAACCGACGTATTTAACGGTCATAAAGCGTGGGAAGAGTGTAGAAAATCTTGTCGAAACACAACCGATAAGAAAAGAGAAAAGCAATGTTAAAAATGGTGAGTATGGATATTTGGATATTGATATTAATTTATTAATTTTTACGATTTTGCGACGGATTTTAAAATGTCTTGTTTAAACATATTGTTTAAATTTGATAAAGGGTTTACACCCCATATGAATTAATCTCCTCTAACGAAGTGTTTTGACTCTTAATTAAGCTATCACGGTAGAATCCCGTCCACACAGCTTGTGAAATATTGTCCAATATGGCATGATAGTTGATACAAATAAATGGACGCGGAGTGCGCAAAATCTGAGACAAACATAACTTGACGTACAAAATTGTCTAAGGGGCATGGCTAACTTGCAAACAGCGATAGGTCAATTCTGAAAAGAAGTGGTTTGACTTTGAGAATGGTTTTAACATTTTGGACAGTGCTGGTACACATTAATTTTTTTGGTTCCTAAATGTTGTATTATGGAGTTCTTACAAGTTGTAAAAGTTGACCCACGGTTGACTGAATGACATCGCATTGCAAAGCCGAGGGAACGTGTTACTGTTAGTCAGTTTCAATTTTCATGTCTCTTCAACAAGCAAGTACATATAAGTAACTCTACACACATAAGCCATACACTTAAAATTTGGCAAGTTTATTGCTCAAGGGGTCACACACACATTGCATTGTACATGTAGCTTGTATGGTGTTTAGGACTTTGCAAAGGGTTGCAGAGGAACTTCTCATTACAAGTTAATAAAGAATGCTTAAAGGCTTTAAGTCAGTTTTATTGCCTCAACAATGGTGAAAACATAAGGTGGGTCTAAGTGGGAAATACAAGGCGTATCTCGTGCCTGGAGAGATGATGTCATGCAAGCACAGTGTGTGGCCTCGTTGGCCGGCCTGGAACATTGGATTCGTGATCTGCGGAACCAGTAATTCTGCAAGTTGTGGGTTCGAGTCCTGCCTGGGGTTGTGGAGCGTGTGCCCTTGGGCAAGGCACTGTGTCACTCATTGCTTCTCCCCACCCAGGAGTAAATGGGTACCTGTGAGGGCAGAGATGGTTATTGTGATTGATTTTAGCTGCTCTGCGCCGAAATGACAGCATCGAGCTGTATACTCCCCAGGGAGCTGAGATGGTAGGCTATTTGGAATGTTTCATAGGGCCTATTGGCCCAATAAATACACATTATTAAACTTTAAAAACCCAATAACTAGCAAATTGCCCGCCTACTAAATGAATCTTCTTAATTTGAGCAAACTGCATTTGTCTACTTCTTTTTTCCTTTTCTTTAATGTGATATTTTGTCAAAGATCCATTTGATTAATTGATGGTTTACCGGTTATTGAACTAAGATCTCTAGTTTGCATTTTGTGGTTTGCTTATCAGGCCACTCTTCAACTCGAGCAGGAAATACTTTGAAAAAAATATCGGCCCATTAAAAAAGATATCCTGTTATATTTCCAGACCTCCATTGCATGCCAAAGAAATCTGATCCCTTTGAAATGTTACCAAGTCTGATTCAAGCTGAATTTCTTTGGTTTTATATACCATACAAATATGCATTGGACTTGGAAAGTTACTTCCTGGTATTTCCTGTACTTGTCACAGTTTTTGCAGCAAGGTGAGGCCCATCCTGGGCCCTATACAGACCTTGCATTATGTATGAAGCCCGACGAATAGCCCCATTGACTTTAAATACCAGTGAAGTAAACTGTTGACCCGGAAAATGTGAACCAAGTGACGCTGCATGGCACAGCAAACCCCAAAAATGTCCAAAAATCAACCACTTGTTGACGAATACTTTGGTTTGCGTTTTGTACTGATTAAGTGATACAATAAACTTGTGGACAAGTTTTAAACACGCCCTGTGCAAAGTTCCATCAGGTAAAAAAATATGTAAAAATTGTATTTTCCCTTGAGCTTCTTTTGGGTTTGGCAGGAAAAAAAATGTCTCCCCCTTTTCCCCGAGCCTCGCCCAGCTGTGAACTCATGAGATTGTTCTACAGGCACCAGGGTATTTCTATCTCCCGATAAAAGTGCCTCAGCAGAAAAGCATTTCCATCTAAAATGCGTGAGATTTAGTGCATGGTTTTGATGCGAGTCGTACTTTCCATGTAATTGGGGCAGACAGAAGTTGAACTGGTGTTAGGCCATTACGCCCCATCTCAGTTTGGATAGTCCGGGACTACGGTATAGTTAGTGACAGTCCTACAGCATTTGCCTTGTGCTGTGGAGAATAAAGGTCATTCAAAGACCAAATCTGGTTGTTCGTAACAATAAACAACCCAAAGAGTATATTTGTATATGTTCAACAATTGTAAACAACTGCATTTTTATGTTACCTGGAACTATACTTGTTAACCTTTCTTTAGAACATAATTTGCGCCAGGAGTGTCATATTGACAGATATGGCGCGGTATAAATGTTCACTATTATTATTATTATTATTATCTGACAAAGTCCAATATATTTTACAGACCATACCACCCACCTACATGTACGGTACTTGTATTGTACAGTTGACGTCATGCCTATCATGTTTTTTATTTTGTATTTTTTTATGATGTCAACATTTTTATACTCGCCCATTTCAAGTGATAATCAATATTGTTTTCCTTCCGTTTCATAGTGAAAGTTAGTGGTGCGTGACCACAGCATGGCTTTTTCTCGTAAACAAGTGGGATGTGGTCTACATGTAGAGTGTACAGTCTAATAATAATTCAGTCAACCTTGTAAACGTCCATGAAACCAATTCCTCATCCACCCCTTCAAAAAAGAAATTGACCAGTTAAAGTAATAATGAAATTTCACTCTGATCTGTAAGGCCAAAAAAAAAAGTCTCCGATTTCTGGTATGGAGCTTGCCCCAAAAGTGGTGCGGCAACGCGTTTTTTTTTTTTTTAACTTTTTTTTCTTAAAATGTCGGCTGATGACTGCAAATTGTGTCCGACTAAATTTAGTGCGAAATATATGGGAGTCCAGAGAGGCCACATAAAGCTTATACTCGATTGTAACCCCATCTAAAAACACGTTAAAATTGTGCAGCAGCAGGATTTCAATCAAACCAGTGAGTTTGGCAGTTTTTAGACATTGAGACAAAAGTTTTACATTGAAAAAAACAAAACTTTTTCATTTTGCCGACACGCACGGCTACGGCGACGTGTGCGCATACCAGAAACCGGAGACTTTTTTTTGGCCTAATGGGGTGTGCATTTACAGGTTGTATGGGAACCAGGTACCCGATTGCAAAAAAACCCCATGGGTAACGAGGTACCCGTTCAAGAAGTTGCTGTTCAGATTATTCACAAAGGTCCGCATCTGTGTGTCAATACAGCAAGTATACAAGTGTGTAGTGAGCTTATAGCTTTACGTGTAAACTGCAACTGTCGTGAATGTTATAAACGTGAAATATGTTTTGTTTTACCGTGGATGTAGCCTGGTTTTCATTTTCAAAATCCCCCGCAAATGACGTTCAAAACCATTCTTTTTCATTGTCTGAGAAATTATTAAGTAATTTGTAAAGTTGTTTACGTGTGCCTGGAAATCGGTTCCTGACATCAGCGGTCGGGTACTTGTGAACCTGATTCCGATGCACACAGCTCCAATCAGTAGTGTAGACCATGTAACAATATAGGTTGGCAGTGCACTGGGATAGGTGGAGATCAGACATGCTCCAGAGCACATAACCTTCACCACGCATTGAACTTTTACCCCACCAATTAATACAACAATCTTAGTAATTGTTGCATGTAGAGTTGTTTTGGACAAACTGTTGAAAAAAACCCATCAAGTTTTGTGGTTTTAATAAGATTATTTGTCCATCCTTTTTTTTCTGCAGCACTTTTGCAGTCTTTGAAAAAGTAATTTTCAAGAGAATTGTATCGTCTAATCTAGACTGATTTTTTTTTAAAGTGTTTGTGGGAGACAGGTTTTTTTGGCAGTATTTTCCTCACCTTCCATTCTGTAACTGGGGTTCACATCCCACCAAAATCAAACAAGCTGAATGAGTTTTATATCCCTGCCTGATTCTTTTTGTTCCCTGGGAATATCACTCCAAATTTTGTCCTCCCACCTGTAAATTTGATTTCTTCATTTTATTTCATAGGTTTCTTTTGTTTCCAAGTTTCAGTTCCTGTGGCACTTTGGAAGGAGTCGTTGGCTTAGGTCAATCGATTGCCAATATCTCGACTCCCGTGTTTTGGGCAGAGAGAGAATGTGTTTCACAATTTAATCCATTAGTTCTTTTACTGCCCAAAACCGCCTCAGCACTTGGTTTTTATTCACAAGGGAATAAATACAATGTATACTTGTGCTGATGTGTTAACCACTGATCTACATAATAATGATAATATCGGAGTCTTATATAGCGCACGTATCTACAACAATTAGGTACTCAAGGCGCTGGAAATTATGTCTATTATTAAAGAAAGGTAAATAAAGTTTATGAGAAATATGAGACCCATTATGTAGCACCTTATAATGGTTTACAAGGTGCTGCGGCCACTGCCAGAAACACCGGGGCAAACCCCTTCTCTTAATAGCGATAAGTGTTACTGGGTTCTTTAACGTACATTACACAACACACGGGACCTACGGCTTTACGTCCCATCCGAAGGAGGAAGCAATAATGGTAAAGTGCCTTGCTCAAGAGCACAAGCACCATGTTCCCACGGTCAGAATTCGAACCCATGTACCACGGCACACGAGTCGAACACCGTAACCATTGGACCACAGCACCCCACAATGTAAACATCTGGATAGCCCATTAGCTGTTACAACTTAGAAGTGAAGTCAGCGTCTACCATATTGCCGCTCCAAGAACTTGATAGATTTGTAAAAAAGAAATAAAATTTAATCAACATGTAGGCATACACTTTTTCCCCAGCGAATTATTATCAAAATCAAAATTAAAAATGTAAATCAAAACGGTAATACATTTTTTTTTTTTTATAAAATGTCCCTTTAGAAAATGAAAACATTTCATATACTTTTAGACGACTCTGTTTAAATTATTTTGAACAATGGGAGTGGCTGGGGCTGGTTCCCTCCCTGCTTTCAAATGGAGGGATCGGGAACCAGTGCGTAGCTTCACATTTTATACAGCTTGGAATGGCCAATGAACTATCCAGATTTTTACGTGGAGATCAGTGGTTATAGCCAAACTCTTTTCCATTTCCCTGTCGATGCTTACAGATTCTGAGACTGGTTCCCAGACTCCAGAGGAGGGGAAACCATCCAGCGTAGCAGAGAGGGCCCGACTCTTCTCGGCCGAGGAGCCCAGGGCTGGCGCCATCCGTCAGCGCAAGCAGTCACCTGCCGGTGCCGGTGCCCTGACATTCAAAGCATGGGAAGAGAGCGGGGACCAGGGAGATGACGAAGACAATCTCTGCGACAGTAAGTCAACTTTTAAAAGTTCGCTGGGAATTTTGTTTTTTTCTTTTTGGCTGCAGCAGCTTTTGTGACATTGGAACTTATTGCTCAATTTGCGCTTTTCAGTGCTTTCAGCTTGAGTGCGGGGGCGTCCAACTTTTTTCCAGTGTTTCAGTCGAGGTGCTTGTGCTGGATCACAAGTGAATCACAAGTGAATCACAAGTAAATCACAAGTGAATCACAAGTCATTCACAAGTCATTCACAAGTCAATCACAAGTCATTCACAAGTCCATCACAAGTCAATCACAAGTCAATCACAAGTCCATCACAAGTCAGTCACAAGTCAATCACAAGTCAATCACGACTCTATCACAAGTCAATCATGACTCTATCACAAGTCAATCACGAGTCATTCACAAGTCGATCACAAGTCAATCCCAAGTCAATCACAAGTCAATTGCAAGTCAATCACAAGTCAATCACAAGTCAATCGCAAGTCAATCACAAGTCAATCACAAGTCAATCACAAGTCAATCGCAAGTCAATCACAAGTCAATCACAAGTCAATCACAAGTCAATCACAAGTCAATCCCAACCCTATCACAAGTCAATCACAAGTCATTCACAGGTCATTCCCAAGTCAATCCCAAGTCAATCCCAAGTCAATCACAAGTCAATCGCAAGTCAATCCCAAGTCAATCCCAAGTCAATCACAAGTCAATCACAAGTCAATCACAAGTCAATCGCAAGTCAATCACAAGTCAATCACAAGTCAATCACAAGTCAATCACAAGTCAATCCCAACCCTATCACAAGTCAATCACAAGTCATTCACAGGTCATTCCCAAGTCAATCCCAAGTCAATCCCAAGTCAATCACAAGTCAATCGCAAGTCAATCCCAAGTCAATCCCAAGTCAATCACAAGTCAATCACAAGTCAATCACAAGTCAATCACAAGTCAATCACAAGTCAATCACAAGTCAATCCCAACCCTATCACAAGTCAATCACAAGTCATTCACAGGTCATTCACAAGTCAATCCCAAGTCAATCCCAAGTCAATCCCAAGTCAATCGCAAGTCAATCCCAAGTCAATCCCAAGTCAATCCCAAGTCAATCCCAAGTCAATCGCAAGTCAATCACAAGTCAATCACAAGTCAATCACAAGTCAATCACAAGTCAATCCAGTCTAAGTCAACTCACAAGCTACATATATGTTCAAATAAACTGGGACAAAGACATTTTCTTTTTTGCTTTTCATCCCCTGTTTCTTGTGACTGTACTTTTGAAGGGACTTGTGATTAACTTGTGACCTATTTGTGATGTTCTTGTGTTGCATCACCAGTGCCTCAATGACAACCTGCTTTGTTTCAGATCTCAAGTGTTGGACAATTCATGACTTTTTTTTATCATTGTACTTATCAACAATTCTGGGCAAAAATCATTGAAACACTTTGTATTTTTGTTATATATAATATAAAAACACATTTTTCAGGAAATCCCCCAAGTTTGGTCGTGAACATTTTGAACTTTAGTAGCAATTTATTAAACCCTTGATTAATTATTTAGAAAATAGTAAGCTATTAAATAACAAGCTGCAAAGTGGTTGTTAAGTACCCAAAAAATCCCAATCTTGCAGCTGGACTTTGAAATATGTCAAGTAGTCTGATGTCCATAAACTAAATAAGTGAACAAGGAACTAATCGTTTTGAAATATGCGAGCCTCATTTCCTTTTTTCCTTGACAAACACTGTCATTTCTACACCCGCAAAGTGTTTAATACCTGGAAATGTCACCTCACTGGGTTCAATGGGAAATCCGTGAAAAGTTGGGTTTTTCCCTATATCGCGGACAGATACTCTCTTTATTTGTCGAACCTAAAACTGCTACGCCATGAATTCCCTAGCCGCAATTTATCAGCAGATACGGTACATTCTTGGTCTGAAATTTTCCTGCTTATATTTGAAACTGCAATATCATGGATTTTGTAATATCATGCATTCTTGCCTTAGTTGAATCAGCAGATAAAATGATATGCTTGACTTACAATTTACAAAGTTCTTGATCAGTTTATGTAATCACGCAACCTTTTCAGGTGGATCGTTCCAATGCATGCCAGCCAGTAATACTAGGGTGCCTGGCTGTCTAATGGACAGTAGTTTACTTTGTTATAAAAATGTGTGATTTGCACGTTATGTAAAAAAATATTTTTAAATTGAACTTTTTCCGGTTTACATGTAACAAATTGTGACACCAACCTGTATTTCAACTTCTGGCTAGAACCTAAAATCAGCTCAACCAAAAACCACAAATACTTTCTTGATGTATGACCCGATGTCAGTTGGCTGGTGTGTACCGGTAGCTTTGCCTTTATGCAAACACACTGGATCAAATAATACGTTCATGAAATGCCTGGATGTATGAACTCTTCTTTGTTGTATGTGCACGAACGTGTGAAGGTATGGCACCAGGAAGTTTAACGAAAAAAAAATATTCTGTACTCCAGTTCCCAGTATTTTCCCAAGAATATTTCTCCATTGCCATACTTTTAAACATACATTTGAAATCGTTTTGAGAAGATCTGAGAAGTTGTAAAGCTGTTTTGGTCGGAATATTGAAATCAATTTCAAGTAAAACTTTCAACATACATGTACTCTTAGGCTTATGAAGAAAATTACATTTTCTGTCCCACACAGCAGCTGTAAAAGCACTGCATTTGCTTACATGGATGTTATCATTAATAGGTTCTAGTATGCAATGCATTCAAGAAGCAAAATTCATTTGTTAGGACAAAAATTTCCGGTACATACTCTGTGTGGGCAGGTCATTCTCACCATTATGACTTCAAACTATTTTTCGTTTGGTAGAAGTTTGCTATTCATAATCACTAACTGAGGATGACTGCATGCATTAAGGAGTTTATAATCAGAATTATAAAATCACAGATCTGAGAAGTTGGATTAAGATTTTGTGTTTTGGAATTTTGTTCGCATTTCTTGACTAAAGTCCATTTAAAAAGGGATTTCTTATTATGGTTCCTTGATCAACAAGACAAACATATGAGAAATAAACAAATTTGGGGGAGAAACAGATCAGATTTTTGGTTTCCTTCCCTCAAACTCTGCATATTTTGTATCGACCTAGGGCAGGTGGAATTGCATGGATTATCTATCTTTTGCTCAGAATTTTTTTTACAAACCAACATTGTAAAATACTACAAGAAAACACAAATGTATGAACTCGACTGATTGCTTAATTGTTCAGCTACATAAATGTTAATATTAAAGTAGCTTTTCCAGTGCTATTATCAAGCCTCACCCCCCTCCCCCTCCAAAAATAAAAAAGTTTGCTTTGGAATTGCTATTTTATAACAGTACAAAAGTTATTCATCACTTAAATGAGACATCAAACAAAAAATTTCGCCTACGTTTAGCTTTGGAATATTTAGGCCTACATGCACTATACAAATTTTGAATGATTTGTGGGCGGACAATAAAATTCAGGCATTTCTTTTGTGCTTGTGGGCAAAACAACCCCCCCTTTCCCCTCCCCCCCAAAAAAGCTTATAATTATAATATGTTCAGAGGATTGAAAACATTTGAAATAGGGGAAAAAAAAGACTTTTTTTGTGTGAAAATATAAAAACATTACAGATTGAGAAAAATTTTGGATAAAAAAAATTGAACATGTTGAAGAGCAGGGGTAGAGCAACTTTAAAATGAATAATAAGTTGATTTCCGGCTTTGGATTTGATATGGAATATTCCATGGAAAAGTACACTTGCACTTGTACACATGTACGTAATGACAATAACTAAAGCCTTTTATTCAAAATCTTTGAATAAAAGATATTCTGCACATTGTACTCGGAGGCGGAAGTACCGGTATATGTGCATGTACATGCAGACTCTGTAGTATTTGTATTCCATATTGCATGGCTTAGGCCAAAAAATATTGTGGTAACCAACCGTACCGGTACCTGTGTTTTTTGGCAACCAAATTGCCCACCTCTAACTTGTTAACATTTGTCCAAAAATTGAACACAAAAAGTAGCTGAAAATAAAAAAGTCTTCCCTATGCAAGTTTTATTATTGATTAAACATTAAAACAGGTTAATTATACAAAATAATGTGGAATGCCCTAAAGTAAACAAGTTAAGTTAAATGAATGACCGAAAAACATAAAAAAGTTTCCAAATAAAATTGATTTTCTACCTCGATAATTTTTAAAGCGTTGCTGTAAGCACACAATATTTTTGGACCTTATACAAGATGCATTTCGCCCCTTTTTTTACTATCCTGGTATATGAGCAGCAAGCTAGGCCATGATTGATGTTTTGCACCAACATTTGTAAATTTGGGCGAATGCGAACGTGCCAAAAAATTTTTAAAAAAGATTTCAGATTTTAACTTCCAAAACTTAAACATATGAACCGCTTTCTCTGAAAATATAGCCATTGTAACCCATGGAACAGTACACACAGCTCATATAAATGATGTTTTTGATTTCTGCACACTTTCATGATTTCATATACTGTAGTCCAAAATTCCTGTGCCCAACTACATTTTGTGTACATCCCACAGTTTTTGTATAGCCCCCTCTTGTGATTATTGTCCTGTATGACATCTGTTCTGTCCCATATGTCATATAATTTTTTTGGTTCGGAAAGGAAAGTAGTTCACAGCAGAATATCACTGACAATTCTCTTACCACATGAACCGGTACATGTACATGTACGTGCATAGTGTCAATTTCACGATAAATATACGAGTGGTAGTGGTGCGAATATTGGGTTTTGCCCTTCACCGACATATTTTTTTTTATAAACCATGTAGGCCTACCGTATACTCAATGTTGTCCCGAATGATTGTGGGAAAAAAATCACTGGGGTAGGCTCGAACCCACGACCTATTACTTACTATCGCAGACATCTTTAAGACCACTGAGCTTGTCGGAGTTAAGGCTGGCTGGTTTGAATCTGATGCATGTACTGGTATATGGTGGGCAAGTGGTAAGACGTCTGCAATAGTAATTAAGAGGTCGTGGGTTTGAGTCCCACCGGAGTGATTGTCTTCTCACAATCATTCGGGACAACACTGAGTATACAGTGTTTATAAAAAGAAATACGTCGGTGAAGGCAAACCCAATATTGAATTTACATCACCCCAACGCAAATTCCATCGTATGAATTGTAGAAAAATGGTCCGAAATTACTTCATGCGTACACATTGAAGCAGGTGGTAATGTGTACAGCACAGCAGTATCATGGTTTGAATTTCTGAAGTATTGAATCCTTAGTTGCTTTGAAACCTTCACATGACAAAAATCCAGATTTCGAAATACTGACTGTAACTGTGGTGTTTCTACATTAGAACCATAAAAAAACAGCTGAAATTCTATTATCATCCTAAGAACAGTAGAAATAAAACAAGTATAGTCGCGTAAATTTCATCATGTTGTGTCAAGTACATGTATGCGGAGAATTAAAGAAAAGGACCCTGAAATGGCTATAAATCTCAAATTGTGCATTTGTTGGACATCAGCAGGTTCATTCAATTTGTTATGTTACATTGCCGTGGATAAGCAACTTTGCCCAGCCTAGAAAATCTAAAAAAAAAAAATGTTGTGCAATGTGGTTTCCCTGCATTTTTTTCCCAAGGGTACACTTTTCAAAATACAAAATTAGCTACATGTAGTTGCTTGTAATTAATTTGCTTGCATGGTTACTACCTTTGACCAATTTGGTAATTTGTTATTTCATTGAATGTTTGTAAATTAAATTCCACAAATTACTGGTGTGTTTCTGCATGCACCTGTACTTGTGTGCATGTTTGCATGACTAACTAGCAACTTTGTCCATGCATGCTTGTATCTGAATTTTTAGAGCCCACCCCTGCTTCGGCAGGCCCCATTGGGAATAGAAAAAAGAGAAATCTCTTTGGGAACCAACCAGAGGCGGGTAGCTCCGCACAGCCATTAAAGAGTGGGAAGAATCAGCAGGGGCAGGATACCAGTCTACCGTCAGCTCCGAAGGGCCTGCAGAAGATAATCCCGAGATGGTTTTGGAGGAGTCGGTTCAAGTCGGGTGGTCGGAAGGATGCTAACACTGCCGGGCAGTGTCAAGGGTCTTTGTCAGATGGAAAGGCAGAGGTATTGGAGAGTACGAGTGCAGACTTGTGTCCTGGTTTGTCTCAGCCGGATGCTTCCATGAAATCTTTAAATACGTTGTCCAAATCCACTGGTTGTGTAGCAGCATCCAGTCATTCTTCGTGTCGTTCTGAGTTAACGGAAGATTTGTCACAAAAGAGTGCCTCGCAGAAAAATTTGGATAAAGCTAAAAGATTTGGGACTTTTGTTGCCAATTCAAGCTCTGTAATGTCGTTGGAGGTTCAGCATCCGGGTGATGCGTCCCCACAGCTCTTAATTCCAGAAATGTCTTGGCCATCTCAGCGACCTCCAAATGCTTCAAAAGCCAGACAAGTATCCTCTGAATCTGAAAACAAACAGGAATGTTCGACATCAGGGAAACAACACAAAATTCTTCCAGACCTTCCCTCGAAGGAAGCGGCCTTCCTGAGTGCTCTTCCAGAAGTAAAACCAGCAATCCAAGAACGGCACCAAGAGCCTGTCAGACAAGAACATCAAAGGGCTGCTAGGCCTTTACCCACAGTTCCCAAGGAAGAGTCTGGAGTGTCCGGGATGGTGGAAGCTCTCAATCAGACACCTCAAATCTCTCACCGGGAAAGAAATGAGTCTGTAACATCAGTTTGGAAAGTCACCAAGCCTGTACCCATGGCTCCAATCAGAGAAATCCCCTCCAGAACTGCCTGCGTGAGACAGGAGGAGCCATCAGCTAAAAGAACCAAGCCTGCAAAGGGTCTTATCCCACAAGTGTCTTCTCAAAAGGCGGAAGTAAATCTTGTCAGTCAGCTGAAGGAGAAAAGTGCCTCAGAAGCCGATGCGCAAAAAACAAAGGGGTCCTGTTCCCAGGCTTCTGCGTCTACTGAGAGGGACCTCTCCCAACCCAGCCCCTCCAAGTTGTCGAAGCCTCTCCCAGAGGTCCCCAGAGATTGTGGGGATAGCATGGTTACCTCAGAGACCAAGGAAGCTCAAAAGGTTTTGCCAGAAGTTGACCAGAATACTGAGGGACATCGCTGCCAATTAACGGGAGATTTGGGTCGTTCTAAGTCAAGCAACTTGAAAGCTCTTCCAGATATTCCTCAGTCCAGTATCTCCTCAGAAACTATAGGGATCAAGAAGGCAACGAAGCCAGCTGTAGTCCCTCGTCAAGCGAGGAGACTACATGTAGCTGTCACGCTTGTGGATGGGCACTTCTTAAAACCCCTGCCAAATGTCCCTGAGGAGGGAGCAGAGGAGGAGGAGGAAAAGCCGGCAACTCCAAGCACTCCGAAACCTCTCCCAAGAGTTCCCCGGCAGCAAAATCTTTGCCTGGCATCACGGAAGGAAAGTCCTGGCGCAGCGGATCCAGACTCCAAATTGTCAAAAGAGAATCCGGACATTGTGAGTGAAGACCCAGCTATCAGCGATGAAACTCTTAGTTCTGATCATTTGGGCAAAATGGCTGAGCTCGCCACCAAGGAACAAGACACCGTCTTGACATCCAACAAAACAGTCACAGAAGGTAGACATTCTGGATTTGAAAACAAGCAAAAAACACAGCAAATGAGTTCATAGTTTTTTCTGCATTTTCTATTTTTTTTTTTTAAATTGAAGCAGAACACCTATTAACCTTCTTAGGGAAAATTGAAGACTTTTTGTTTATCACAAAAGAATTAGAAACAATTCTGTTTTGCACAAACTGCACCTTTGGTTTTCATTTTTGTTTTTATAATTTGTATAAAACTGCAGATCTATGCAAATGTTTTTTGTAAGTTGTGGTTTGATTTTTGACTGAAAGAAAATGAAATTGTCTGAAATAACGGAAACAGACCCTGTGCTTGAGGAAGTTTAAAACCAAAATGATTTTCGTTGAATCCACAGTGGGATTAAATTCCCTTCACTTCCTTCTGACTTTGTTTGGTTATCATGAACCTGGACTGTCAGTGACATAAACTGTTTCTTTGTTTGCGTGTTGTCTAAGATAAAAAACCAACAGTTCAATGACTGACAACATGATAATTTTATGAACTCGGAGTTGATATCCTGAAATCTGCGATTAAAGATTTGATTGTATTACTTGAAAAAGGAACGAAGAATACTGGAAGATTTTAAATTAATTTGGAAGAAAGTTCCGTCATGAATTAACTAACTTTGTAATCTTAGCTCTTTTAGAAAGTTAATTAAGCTAATAGATGTGCAAAGAATATTGATGTACTATTGCAAATCTACATTCATTTATAGTTTGAAGTGCTGCATCACTTGCCATTATTTTGAAAAAGAGAAGTAGCTTTAGATGTTGATGTAGAAAAATAGAATTAGTAAAAATCTGAAATGGTTACATAGAATAGTCTACAAAGCAAATTTAGCGTTGGAATAAGTGTTGTAGTATTGTCATGCAAATAAAAAGTACAAAGCTATTTTATGCATTAGCAGGTTTACTTTACCGTGTGTGCCAACAATAACAGGTTTATTCTAATTGACTTGGTATAATGTTGCATGCTTGTATTTGTTCATTTATTTATTTATTTATTTTTTACTTCTGCAAAAGAGTTTACACCTGTATTTACACGTGTTCTGAGCTCCCTTCTGCCCTGCACCGAATTCACCTTTGTATTTAAAACTTCAGGAAAGGTGGTTTTCACATTCTAATGATTTTAACACTTTTCATTTCATTAACTAACAAATATGATCTAACCTTTAAGTTAAATTTTGATAATGATTACGTTGGTCAGACTCTACATTTGGAATGTCCCTGGTCTGTTAAAAAAAACGAGTACGGTTCAAAACATATATGTACTGTGTTTCAAGTTGGAACGAACCATCAGTTCAAATAGTCTTGGTTTTGCCATAAACAGTATTTTACATACCAGAACGCTTCAATTTCTGATACTGTTTTCAGTGAGGACAACTTGTGCTCACTTGAAAATGGTGGTATTCTCAACAAAATGTTTGAAGCCTTCCAAATTATGAGTCTCCCACTTGCTCTAACCACTCCAAAACATTTATTTATGTTGAGTTTTGTTTTATCACCATTTTTTGTTTGTTTGTTTTCATTGCATGCACTCACAGGTACTAATCAGAAACAGGATGTTGAGCAACCCAAGTTGTTAGAAACGAGGGTTGCTGATACCGAAAGAGGCGGTAATATTAGCTCGTCAACAAAGAAAGTTTTGGCGGAATTTAGTGAAAGTCTCGACTCTGATAACGAGCATGGATCATATAATGTGTGGGAAGGTAGGAATAAAAGTGTGACCTGTCATGGTCAAATTTCAATTGTCCTTTGCAGTCAACTCTGGAATTTCTTCTGGTCTAGCCATAAGTCACCGAGGTCAACACTCTGGTCAAGTCTTAAGTCACTTGGGTCAAGTCTCAAGTCACTCTGGTCAAGTCTCAAGTCTCTCTAGTCAAGTCTCAAGTCACTCTGTTCAAGTCTTAAAGCACTCTGGTCACGTCTCAAGTCACTCTAGTCAAGTCTCAAGTCTCTCTGGTCAAGTCTCAAGTCACTCTGTTCACGTCTCAAGTCTCTGTGGTCAAGTCTCAAGTCACTCTAGTCAAGTCTCAAGTCACTCTGGTCAAGTCTCAAGTCTCTCTGGTCAAGTCTCAAGTCACTCTGTTCAAGTCTCAAGTCTCTCTGGTCAAGTCTGAAGTCTCTCTGGTCAAGTCTCAAGTCACTGTGGTCAAGTCTCAAGTCTCTCTGGTCAAGTCTCAAGTCACTCTGTTTAAGTCTCAAGTCACTCTGTTCAAGTCTCTCTGGTCAAGTCTCAAGTCACTCTAGTCAAGTCTCAGGTCACTCTGGTCAAGTCTCAAGTCTCTCTGGTCAAGTCTCAAGTCACTCTGTTTAAGTCTCAAGTCTCTCTGGTCAAGTCTCAAGTCACTCTAGTCAAGTCTCAAGTCACTGCACTGGTTAAGTCTCAAGTCGCCCTGGTCAAGTCACTGCACTGGTTAAGTCTCAAGTCACTCTGGTCAAGTGTAAAGTCACCTTGGTCAAGTCGAAATTTAGTCACCCTGGTCAAGTCTTAAGTCATTCTGGTCAAGTGACTGTGGTCAAGTCTCATGTCACTCTGGTTTAATTTGCTTAACATTTTAGTGACAACTGTACAGAAAAAAAAATGAGAACAGAACCTAGAAAAAACACAAAGTTGACACCACTTTCCTGTTTTATGATTTATTTTATTCTTTCACATCCTGTATGCATAGAGCAGTGTGTTCTGCTTTTGCCTTTTGGATTGGTATAAACTAGTCTGCCAGATAGTCTAAAATCAACAGTGGTTTTCCGTTACAACAATTTCCTGATTTTTGGCACCATATATTTTTACTTGAAGCACACTATTTTTTTTGTTTTGTGCACACACTTGTGATTGCACTGCCGCGTGTTTTCAATCCATCGAAGTCAGTCCTCAGACAAAATACTCATCGATGGTGCGATTTGGAACATAACATTACAACACAAGGAACCACAAACTAATCCATAATGTTCACGTTTCCCAACGTGTGGTCATACCCAGGGTCCGACGGCGAGGCAAGGGTCATCCCGCTGCGACCCAACAAGCTGCTGCAGAGTGAGTTTGCACCGACGACCGGTCGCAGCGATCTGCGACGCGCCAGTTCCTTAGAAGACTTGCCCACCATCTCGGTATCCTTCAGCAACGCCCGGGGCTTGTTCCAACAGGCCCAGTTTATGAAGTCCTGCGAAACGGTGGATACAAGTAAGCAACTTGAGATATTTAGTCATCGTTTTTTTTAGGAGTGGTCCAGTTGTTTTTAACGTACTTGCTGGACTCCTTGTATGAATGGTAGATGGTGGTTTGTGACAACTCGGGAAAGCTACATGGGAGGGACGTATGGGGTGCATGCAGGGGAACAGCGCGTACATGTTCGAAGCAAAGTATTTACAATCAATTTGATTCTGAACGTTCACAAACCCATATCGTCTTCATGTGAGCGCCAGGCACACAGTGGCAATGTCTTCAAATCTCTACTACGTTAACTCCCTTCGTAAGTGAGTGAGGGAGGAGTTGTGTATCGATTATTCCGGATTATGGGTTGAAGTTGTGATTCGTAATGTCACTCCGATTGGCTGGCGCGCGGGGTTGAATAAAATTGATCAGACCTTTGTTCGTGTGGCTCGATCTGCACCGTGAATGTGTGATCTTCAGACTACTTGTATTCAGGGTTAGCACAGAATTTGAGAGCTACTGTACTGTAACAAAGGAGCGATGAATGTGTATTGTGCAGAATTCCGCGGTTAGCAAAGCAGTGAAATTTGACACAGGTCTTTCATGACCTTTACTTTTGAATTTCAGTTTTCTAAGGTGTACTGTACAAAGTTTTGGTAATCCTTGTGTAAGCATTCATAACTTACATGTAATGCATATTAGTTATACTTCCTGGTTTGGTGCACTTGGAGCTGCCAGTGCTGCGCTCAAGTTGAACGTCATGAAAACTTTGTTACGAGGAAGCTAAATGCAAACGAGAATATGCTCTGTACATTGCACATTAAAGGCACATTTCTGTTTTGTTTGGCCAAATGTGAATTCCAATTGCGAATCTCAAAGCATATATGGCCAAAGTTCATTATATTGGAGCACACAGTATGTAGCCTGTACGTACAATGGTAAGTTTCCTCCTTGTAGCTCTTGGTTTTTTTTTTGGTTTTTTTTAAAGCAGCCCAGACATTATCAAAATTCAATGTAGGAAAATTGGCATCTTCATCTCACTTACACCTTTTCCCTCTGAGACTGTTAATTTTTTTACCCTAACAGTCCCGAATCCTCCAATTTTAATATTTTATTTGGTTATTTCTCATTTTAACTGGGTCAGTGGAATCCACTGGTCGCCCATGGGGCCCAGTAAAGAGATGACAATATGTGACGAAATTACAGTTTTAGAGGTGGGAGGAAAACCCTTGGAATATTCTGAGGAAAACCCACGGAATCAAGTAGGGACTGATAGCCCAATCCACATATCGGCCCAGGCAGGAATTTAACCCGGGTCACAGCGGTGGAAGGCGAGGAAAGTACCGCTACGCCAACCTGACTCCTGATATAATTTTTCGCGCACACCCTATGTGAAGGGAGTTGGGTTAATGTGTATAGGGTACTGTGGTGATTCTGGTTATTGTTTAAACATGTCCGACAAAAACAATGAAAAAAGAAAGAAAAGGTTATCCTACTTCTCAACAGAAATTCTACCTGTTGCTAAGTAGTTGACAGAACTCTAAAACTTGGCAGCACTAGGTATAGTGTGTACCGGTACATATACATATGTACACAGGTACCGTTGAGCAAATAGGCACGTTAGACTAAAGCTGATTATGTCATTGGTTATTTGACTTGCATATTGTACAAAGGGGATAAGCATTGTAAAAGTGACTGATAATAACCCGCACACCATCATTTCGTCAGCTTCAAAGTTTTGGAATGTTGTATTTCTTCTGGCGTCTCTTCCGAGCTGAAAGCTTTCAAATGGTTTCTGTAGTTAGGGAACAATTTGAGGATCACTGAGGAAGCATTTTGTGCAGTAGCATGCATCAGTATGTTATAACGGTAAGTGCACATGTGTGCCCTTGATATGAGATGCGCAATGTGAAGATGCTTGATAGCAACATGATGTGAATACGTCATGTGCTGCAATAGATACTGAATACATTAAGATACATGTAAGTTATACTTTAACAAAACTGGCCCTAATCAGGTCCAAAGTTCAGCTAACTGAGGTTTTTTTTAAGCTGAGGTTATGCATAAGAAAGAGAGTTGAGATAAAACATACGTTCTATCTGAACAAATAGGGCCTACTTACTTTGAAAAAGGCATAGAAATGTAAGTCAGGAGAATAATGAAAGTAGCTTTGTTTTAAAAAATAAAGTTGAAAATTGTTTGACCTTCAATTCTGCAATCAGTCAAGAAAATATTTAACATATATAATGTAGACGATCATGAAAACATTTTACACAATATTTTTTTGTTAAATATCACAGTATCCGAACTGCTGTGCATTATTGGCCAGTTTTGAAACGAATACTCTTCCCTTATCAGCTTTATAATCATTCAGACGCTTTGTCGGGAAAAAAAAACATTTCAGATGTTTCTGGTTCCTTGTGAGGGTACTTGGATTCCCATGTAATACACTTGTTTTTGTCTGAGCCAATTGATAAAAGTAAAACCCCAAACAAACAGACAAACACTGTTATAATTGTGCTGCCCTATACTTAATTGTCAATGTGGAGTAACCATCCTCATTTCTGCCATTTGCTTTCAACCTCCCCCTTCCGTGTCCGGTACCTCCCTCTTCCCAGCACCCATATCAAGGGTCTCTTACGGTTTGGACCTACGGTCTCCACTCTGAGTCCTTGCTCTAGTCCACAGTAATGATGTGCGCCGGGTCGGGTTGACCAGGCCAAACCGACCTGAAGACATAAACCGAATCCGAACCGAAACCGATCTTAACTCCCTCAAACCGACCCGACCCGACCCGACAAAAAATAACGTAAAACCGACCCGAACCGACCCGACCCGAAAAAACCTGAAAAAACCCGAATACCTGGCTTGGACAAAGTGATCACTTTTTTGTGGCTGTCCTTACCCACGTGGCATGAATTCTTTTGCAAAACCATCGTCTCTCTCTCTGTCACACTCAGTGGGTTGATCGAGAGTAAGTCCGCTTATTGAACAAACGCATGGTCACCATGCGGTATCATGAAAACGTTACAATGTATCTATTTCGCTGTCAGTCCGGACCCGACCAAAGAGAAATTAATACCGTGGGAACTTGATACCACTCGGTGGCCACATCACACACAATGGGCTGCGGTCACAGTGACTGTCAATAATATTGTATCACCTGAATTTTTCAACTGATTCGGTTTATTTCGGTGTATGTCGGTTTTTTCAAAAATGGCTAAACCGACCCGACCCGACCCGAAAATGTAAATGCATAACCGAAACCGACCCGACCCGACTGAAAAGATGGACAAACCGACCCGACCCGACCCAAAGTTGGTTTCGGGTCGGGTCGGTTTCGGTTTCGGGTTGGGTTTGCACACCATCAGTCCACAGTCTGTCAAAATGTCGAGAAAAAAACTTGCAGGGCGGAGGGACGGGATGTATAGCCTCAGATTCCTCTAGTTAGCCTGAAGATTAGGAATGTATGACTAATGCGTATTGCAGACAACGACAAGATCCTTGTACACACTAGGCCCTTCCAACTTGTGAATCATCGACATCCATAGGGTTTGTCGCACACTCAATCCAGTGCCTAGCTCACACTTGTCCGGTAAGAGTGGGAGCGTGCCAGTTCCTAGCTCTGCTGGCTCCGTAGCGTAAGATCCTCTCAGCCCGTGGATTTATCATTTGACGGCTTTCAAAATGGCACAGCCAAAAGTCAGATTTCCGGCATGTAAGTACATTTTCATTAGAAGAACATTTGCCCAAGGCTTTTTTTTGGGTGTGTATCGTAAAGAAATTTAGGATTGTCTTTGAATTTGTGCTACATGTAGGGTAGGTGTCACACAGTTCCTCGTTCATGGTCATTGAGTCACAGTGTGTGTCCTTGAATCATACTGCGTGATATTTTAAAAAGATCAAGACTTTCTTAAAATAGGCGTTGGATTCTTGGGACTGTGCCCATATTGGGACTTTCGCCCTTTCATGTGATGTGGGTGGTACAATGACAATCATGTGTTTTGTTAATGATATGTCTACCAACTAGACTATTCGTTTTGTGAAAATGTACTTAAAATGTAGGAATTCCACCATTTTTGTGGGCATGTTTTAGGAATTAAGTGCAGTTTTTTATTAGGCTTGCAGTGCCAGTTATGTTTTATACTGACAGTGTTGGTTTGCACAACATGATAAGTTTTAGGCGATTCGTTCGAAGTAGAAACTAATTTTTAGTTGAAAATGATTTGTTAATTTTAGAAAAATGACTATTAATGTAAAGCCTTAATTCAAATTGAGAATTGAGCACTTTTATAATTGCAGATGTCCTTAGATATTTAAAAATTAAAAATAATGAAAATACTGACAGTTGAAGTAGTTGACGACACACATTGGCAGATGTTTAACAGATTGGAATGGGAAAAATTCTCCCGAAATAGATTTGGTATTGCAAGCTGCAGTATGTGAAATGTGAGCATGGCATTCTCCTTGCTGAATCAATGCATATGGATCTCATCGCTGCTACCGGTACATTCATCAAACGTCCGGCCATGTCTGAATACTAAGCTAAGGCTGTGTTTCGGCGTTTGACATTCAAGGGGCATTTGGCCTGAAATCCCCAACAATTTCATGTTTTAGATTGTTTACTAATATACCATTTAAAAGGTCTTGTTGAAAAGAAACTAACCTAATGTCTTAACGTTCCTGAGAAAAGATGAAAGAAAACCTGGTTGTTTACATTGGACATAACGGAGTATGTATACGTGCGATACACGTTGTGTGTGTCACATAAATTACACACAGTACCGGTACCAATACACAAATGTTGTTTCTTACACGTCCGCAGAAGTTGACCACTATGCCACTAGCATTAGAACTAGCACTGGAACAGAGCGATTTTTCAGGATGAAATTGTGACCCCCGAAATTCATTCTCGCTCTTTTTTCGCAAGAAAAACACAAAAAAAAACCAGTTTTAAAGGATGGTTGTGTGGATGATGCTCTTTCTACGTAATGTCAGTTAGTGATACCGCCTACATTGACCTGCCCACT